AATTTATGTGTATTGCAAAAGAAGGCAGTATGGCATAGTAAATACATTTATATGTGTGCATATTATATATATATATACATATATATATACGTATATATACACATACACATATACAAATACATAGGCATGTATATGTAGAAACACATGCATATATATATATATATCTTTGTATATCTATGTATATACATATTGTGTGTGCATGTGTGTATGTATGTGTGTGTATGTATGTGTAGTATATAATCATCATTCAGTCATTTCAGTTGTGTCTGACTCTGTATCTTAGAGCTATTAGTGTCTGAGGCTGGATTTGAATTCTTGACTCCAGGCCCAGCTCTCTATCCACTGAGCCACCCAGCTGCCCAGCGTATATAATAGGATTCTATCTATCTATCTATCTATCTATCTATCTATCTATCTATCTATCTATCTATCTATCTGTCTGTCTGTCTGTCTGTCTATATGTATGTACGTGTGTATGTATATATGTACTTAGAGCGAATAGGATTCTATGTGGAGAAAATTTATATATGTGTATGTATATGTGTGTATACACACATATATAATCTCCATATAGATCTCTATAAATTATATATCTATATATCTATAACTATGTCCACATCTATATACCCATCCCATATTTATCTATTTATTTGCATAGAGACTAGCCCAGAGGAGTTGTGAGACTCTAATGAGATAACGGCTATGAAGCACTTTGCAAACCTTAACATGCTATGTAAATGTCATCAATTATAATTATCATCATCACCAATGTCATCAGGCCCCAGTCACTAAGTCTCCAGTCTGGTAGTGATCTCATTCTCTGAGCTTTCTACTCAACTCTTGTGGAGCTCAAACCATACTTAGAGAGCTATACAAGGGCATACTGGTTAATATTTAACAATTGGGGGGAGGGGATATGTATGCACACACATACTTTTAAGTTTAATCTGCATTATTAACACCTTCTTGAGTAGAGATAATCAATACAACAGTAATGTTGCAGGTTTCTCTGGTGTCACACCAAACATTTAAAGTTGGGCAAGCCAGTATGAGCTGTCCAGCATGTGTCTAGACTCAACCAATGATTTAATTGATATTTGGAACTCTGCAATTTATAATCTTAGAGAATTGTCTCTATCAGTGAAAAGTTAAGTGACTTTCCCTGAGTCATACAGTCAATACAAGTCAGAGGTAGCACTTGATTTCCTAGTTCAGAGGTCAGTTTTTTTCTTTTAATCTATGGCACTCTGTCTTGGGATGATAGATTTAGGGCTAAAAGAGAACTTAGAGGCCATATATTTCAGCCCTTCATTTTACTGATAAAGAAACTGAGGACCCAATCGGGGGTAAGTGATTTGCTCAAAGTCACATCAGTATTAAGTAGCAGGATTTAAATCCAAATCCAGAACTCTTTCTGCTATATCACATCAGTATCAAAATTCAGGTTTTCTTAATAATGCATCCACCCAATGATAATCTCTGTCTCCACCTCAGCTTATCTTTGTCTCTTCCAGTTCTAAATCTATGTTATGACTCTCTTATATAAGTGGCACACTGAATTAAAAATTCAGGTCCTGTGACTCTAAATACAGCATGTTCCCTGCTGAATCACATCTTTGTAATAATTCAGGTTCTCTTAACAGTACATCTACATATACAGTGTCTGGGGACATAGGAAATGAATCCACCCATCTACCCATCCATCTATCCATCCATCTATCTATCTATTTATCTATCTATCTATCTATCTATCTATCTATCTATCTATCTATCTATCTATCTATCCTATCTATCTATCCTATCTATCTATCTGTCTGTCTTTCTTTAAATCTAGCTCTAAATTTATATTTTGATTCTGTGACATGGAAGTACAAATGAAGGGAACTTATTTGAAATATAATAGATAGGACTTGGCTACAGTGAATGTTCTTTAGGGTTTTTGCAATCATCAGTGGCACCAAATGATGCTAAATCTACCATTTTCTTACCCACAAACAAAAATCACAACTTCTGGTCTAAATGGTTGGGGGAAAATACATTTTTTTTTTACAATTTCGGGAACTATTTTGAGCTGCTGGATGAGAAAATAATGACACAGAGACTTTAAATCGTTCATCCAACTGCCAAGGACTTAATGAGCATTGCTGATATGATTATAAAGTCATGAATAGCAGTCTTAAATAAGCAGGACCTTAGCATTACAAAATAATGAAAAAACATGGCATGTCTCAAGTTGTTTGGATTGCCATCTCATGTGGTCAATGATATTAGTGCTGGGTGTTCAGGGAGGCTGACGGGGGAGGGAGAGAGGGGTGTAGTAGGATGGGGATGGCCAATTGTGTGTGGGGGGGGTGGGGAGTGGAAACATATGTGTCTAAAAGTCCCTGTTTCCTACATGTTAAAAAGTCATAAAAGAATCAGAGGGGACAGTGGCACTCTGGTTCATGAAACCAGAGAAGTCTACTGACTCCCTTCTAAGTACCAGTTCCTGCTGAATCTTTGTTGAATGAGGAGCCCTTCCAAGTCTTTGCTGGTTTTCACCCTTCCTGGTTCATCTTTCAAAAGAAGTCAGCCCTTATTCTACTCCCAGTCACCTTCCTTCCCTCCTGTCCCTCCATTTCTTTATTTTCCTGGAAGAGAGGCTGATAGCTTCCCATGCCTTGGTTTCTTTTACTGAAAGGTGGGAATGAATTGGAGAAACAATTTTGAGTTTTGGAATGGATAAAAAGAGAGCCCCTTCTTCCCTCCCCCACTTTTTATATTATGATTGTGGTTTAGATGAAATATGGTACTTGTCATCAACAAAATTACAATACAATTCCACTGAGAACTAAGCCTGTTCAGAATAATTCATCTATGAAAATGTGCACTTTAATTGTTACTCTTGGCAGTGGTCAAGGAGGAGAGTGAAATATTATGCTAAATATCGCCACGTGCAATAGTAAAATGCAGTTTTGTTCTGGCCAGAAATGGTACACAACCCTACCGTCCCCCACCCTCTTTATGCTCAGGTTTGGATGTTGTGATTTAATCTAAATCTTGTGCTTTTCCCCCATCCAAAACCAACAGAGGTTTAAAGAGAGCTTCATTTTTTATTGGAAACATTTGCTCTGCCTAAGCTGCCAAAAAATAACTAAAATTGGGACTTTTATTTGGGTTAAAGTTGATTCCTAAGCTCTACAGAGGTTGATGTGTTTAGTTTAGCTTCCTTCCCCCATAAAGTCTGCTTTCACAGGTAAGGTTATGTTCAGGGGCACCTTTTATTCATCCTAATCTTCATAGGACTCTGAGATTTACATAAGAATTGGTAGCATATGGAGCCATACAAATATTTTAAAAATATGAATTGTGGTCTGCCCTACAGCACAGTGTAGTCAGTCTAGTTAAGTGGGGAGTGGCATTGTCTAATGATCAAAGACAAAGACCGTTGTGTCTTTCATAGGAAAATGTTTAAAATCTCTAAATTGGAATATTTTACAAATGCAGAATCAATCAAAAATTATGCTTTTTTAATTCCATTAATACCTGCATGTCTCTAAAGTTTTGATTTATAGCCACATCCTTATTAGTGTGAACAATGAATCCCATACAGTGGTCACATATATTCAAATTTATACTATTTGAAGGTATAATTATGCAAAATATGGTCATTGGTTCCAGTCCAATGGAAATTGGCCATGAAAATTGAAATGATGTGACTATTTCAGGGGACTCATTATTTGCACTGGCCTGGTTGTACTCTTAATCTATCTATAATCCATATTTTCATGTTCATTTTCTGTATGCACATTTGTAAAATTCAGATATAATTCATAAAATGGGGTCCTGAAAACATAAAGATGTGTGTGTATGTGCACCAAAAAAAACCCCAAAAACAAACAAACCCCAAAACAAAAAAGTGATAAAGAATCATAGAATTTTAGACCTAGAAGTAATCTTAGAAATTGTGGAGTCTACCCATCTCATTGAGGAAACTGAGACCCAGAGACATGAATTTACTTGTCAAAAGTCATACAACTAGTCAGTAGCAGAGCTAGCACTGAAATCCAAGTCTCCTAATTTCTAATCCAGTGCTATTTCTTCTATACCATATTGTCTATGTATAGGAACACATTGCAACCCCTAGATACGCATGTAGGATTTTCTAATCATTCTTATGCACTTTAAAACGTTAATAAATGAGGTTATAGATATGGTTAAAGAAATTATGAAAATATTTAAAATCAAAGATATTAAATAATTGGTCAACTACATCAGAAAAATGCACACAGAATATTCTTAGTTGAGATCTCATGACAAACATAAATAGAGCGATGATTGATGAGATGGATAACTGTCTAATGGCTAGCATACAGATCAGAGTCCATATCAGCTAAAGGAAGTAAAATTGGTTACAAGGTTGCTTTATAGGGTTTCTGAAATTATACTTATAACTGAAATTATGAAAGATTAAAATGTTTCAAACTTCAAAGAGATTTTATGAAGACCCTAATCTACTCTTTCATTACTATTCAAGGTAACTTTTTGTGAATGGCTTTTTTTTCTTTTTTAAGGGAAGTTTGATGCCACGTAAAAGCAAAATCTTTTGAAAAATAGTTAGCATAGCCTAAAGAGAGCTATAGTGAGGTAAGATTAATTGATAAGGCAACTTATTCAGAGTATGTTGACTGAAAATATTCATCAGAGAAAGCAGGTTTATAAACATGCTCCAAATACTCTTCCAAAAATCATTCAAATAATGTCAAAGAACACCAACTCAGATGGAATTCTCACAGACCAGTCATTACTTAATATTTTTCTTATTATTCCAAAAGTTGACCTGCAAGAAGGAATTAAAGGGAATTTGTCTCAAATTTACTGAAAGATCAAGAGCTCTATGTGCCAATACTAAATTTAAAGTGTCTTTTGAGGGATTCTGTTTCCTGCTCCCCTTTTAAAATTGGAAAAAAAATTTAAAAATATATTTTGCCTGTGACAGTGAATATGAAAGAAGTTCTCACCCTTAAAACCAGCAGCATTGGTTTTCCAGTCATTAGCGCTCAAATGTCCTGCACGGGAAGTCCTTACAATAACATGCTGCACATCTCTCCAGGTCAGAAACGGACTGGGAAAAGACAAGGCAAGAATCATTGTACCAAAAAAAAAAAAGATGGGGGAAGCAGAGAGTCACAAGCAATTCAAAAAGCAAAATCAAAATGGCGGAAGGACTGAAAACAATGGATTGGGGCTTTCTGTTTAGGATTAACATTCTGCTAAATTCTCTATCCATTCTCACTCAATATGGAGAATGACAATAGCTTGTGAGTGGGCAAAAAATTGGCCTCTGAATTTAAGAAGCCACTGTGTGTCATTTGATAGACCTTAAAAAATTAAAAGAAAATGCCTCATTAAGTGTATCCAACCTTAACAAAACAGGTCCTGAATGATGCATATTTCATCTGTGCACAGAGGTCTGCACTAGTCAGTGGCAAATTACATCAAGGTTTTCTTCAAGGCATTCCTACAGAGGTTGACAATAAATTGTCTTTTTGTAATCATCAGTTGCTCAAACCTGCACTTGTTGATTGGGTAACCAGGCAAATGGATTTATACTGCCCATGAGAGCTTTGTATTATTTGTTTATCCATAAGCAGAAAGTGATAAATAATGGAAAAGGCCCACTTGATCCTTCTTGGCAGGTCAATGAGTTTTATTCAAGAACAGAAAAGTTTGGTATCAAACCCTAGGCTTCAAGGCACTGTTCTACATTTTTGGGAAGGCTTACTTTATTTACAATGAGATGTCTTATTTTTCTTATTACATTTTTATACTCATTTACCATAGCATACAGACCTAATATATAATAGACAAGGAAACTAGCAGAAAGGAGATCATTTCTGATGGAGAATCCCACTAATACTAGATGTCAAGGGAAAAAGAAGTCCATAGTCCCATGACTGGGGCTTATTTCTAAGGATATATTTAATGTAGCTTTTTAAGAAGTGAAAAAATTTCAGATGTGTTTATAGACACATCTGAAGGATGAACTCATGGTGTTCTACAGAGCTTTTACAAGTAATTATGACATCTGTGGTAAATTCAGCTGAGAAGTGAGTGGTGGTATGGGGTCATAGCACAAAGATAGCCCTTTCTCAAAAGGCATGACTGCACTGGGAGAGAGGAAGGCCTATCTCCCATCTGGCCCCATCCTCCTTGGCATGGCTAACAAGTATCCTCTCTTCCCTCCCTCCTCCCCACAACCTATGGGAAGAAGGAGTGTGGAAGTGGCAGTAGGTAGGGTAAAGCTATGGGGGAAAGCATGGTTAAAGAGATGAGTTGATCCTCAGGAATGTATCTCCATTTGTCCTAGGAGGCATGAGGACAGAAGGCTGGAAAAGCACTTTGGGAAGAGGTGCTCCCAATGCACCCTCAGATATCAATACAGGGCAAAACCTCAATCATCCTGACTTTGTTACAACTCCTTTCTCTCTTCTTAGAGATCATAGGGTTATAGATTTAGAGCTAGAAGATTAATTAAGAGTTACAGTTAATTAGGTCCAATGCCTTCATTTTACAGATGAAGAAATCAAGGCACAGAGAAGGTAACACGGCTAAGTATTTCAGGCAAGATCCAAACCTGGGACTTTCTGACTCCAAGTCCAGCATTCTAGTCACTATACCACTCTGGTGACTTGATCTGTTATTAAACTAAAGAGATTGTCTGTGTGTGTGTGTGTGTGTGTGTGTGTGTGAGAGAGAGAGAGAGAGAGAGAGAGAGAGGGAGGGAGGGAGAGAGAGGAGAAAGACATGTATAGGTCCTACCCTCCCACTGTTTGATTAGAGAATTAGATTTGATTACAGAAGAATGGGTTGGGAGCTTAGGGAAGAGGAGAAATTTACTACTCTAAGACATCATAAGGGAACCAACTATAGTTTGTGCACCTGAATAAGGAAACATATCTCTAGGTACTAAAAAATCATAAGTATTTTTTAACTCTATCTCACATTGTTTCCTTGAATATTAAAAAACATCTTTAGCACTCCACTTATGATTTTCATGTACTTGATATGTTGACTGCATTTGACTACTGATTATAACCATAAAGACTAAATGCAGAGATATGGTAATATAGAGGCAATATGATAGAATAGATTGGGTATTGGTCTTGGATTCAGGAAGACTTGGGTTTAAATCATATCCTCTATACTTACTATCTAGGTTGCTTACCCTTGGTAAAGTCATTTGATTTCTCTCTGCCTCAGGCAACTCTCCTAGTACTTATTTACTAAGTCAGAGTTTCCTAAGATCCTTCCCAAATATGAAGTTCATAGATCCAGAAAGGACCTCAGAGGTCAGCTGGCCTAATCTTTCATTTTTCAGATGAGGAAAGGGAAGGTAAGGGATATTAAGTGACTTGCCCATGTCTACACAGGTAATAAGTGGCAGAGATAGAATTTGAACCTGGGTCCACTGAAACTAGAGCCTGGGCTTTTCCCACATTACCATAGGTTACCAGTACTTTCTCTCCTTCTAAACAATAATAGAACTTTATTTTACCTTCTCATTCTCTGTCTTGGTTAACCTACAGAAGAGGGAATCAGCAGGTAAGGGAATGTCTTGAGGAGAACTGATATCTTTTCTTTTTTTTAAAGCGTTTCTGGGGGAAAAATCCTTTGGCAGAACTTCCATTTCTAAAGAGAAATCTTTCATTTTTTATTTTTTTGAACTTAACAAACACCAAATAAAGGGAGTGTTTCAATACAAATGGTAGAACAGAAAGAGAGGATCATATGAAACTGCAAATCTCTTGCTTTTCTTTGTAAATATATAGTAGATTTAACATGTAACTTTCAAAGCTGTTGTGCTTGTCCATGAATCCTTCTGGCCTTCGTTCTATTCTCTTATCACAGGACTGCTCAGCACGGTGTGCCCACAACAAAAACGGTGCTGTGCTCTATGAGCAAAGCAGAATTGAAATAGCTCAAGAGAAACGCAAGATACACAGACTTAGAGGATCCACCCCAAAGGTTCATACAGACTATTTGTGCCTGACCTGTGGTAGAACATTCTGAGCTCATATTGGTCTGATCAGCCACAGTCGGACACATGAAAACTTGACCTTAGCATAGTGATGTCATTTTGGCCCTTTTTGAAAATGGACAACCAACCATTAAAGAAAAAAAATATTTCAGTAACCCTTCTTTTTCTAAAGACATCTGAAAGAGGAGGCTAAGAAACAGTATAAGGTTGCCCATGAATTCCAAGACTAATAAGTGTATGATAATAATAAATCAAATACACAAATTTGGAAAGTAAGGAGAAAACTAAAAGAGGGAATGTTTAGCATTTTATCTGTCCCAGTTTTGCCATTAACCTCTTTTAGAATTAAAAACAGGGAATACTCTAATCTTCATAGGACTAAGAAAGGTAACTTGTAAGTGGGTAGAGAGCAGGAGTTAGGAAGACCTAGGTTCAAATTCCACCTCAGGCACTTAGTAGATTATGACCCTAAGCAAGTCACTTAAACTCTCTGTGTCTCAGTTTCTTCATCTGTAAAATGGAAGGTTTATATTCAATGACTTCTAGAGTCTCTTCAAGTTTGCTCTAGAGATGATCCTGGGATGACAGGACCACTGAAGGGCTAGCCAGGCAGAAGGAATTTTGCATATACAAATGATCAGCTTGTTGGGGACCTTTAATGATTGCTTCAGAATGAGTTTAATAGCTTCGGTACATTAATGCCATTAAAATCAGAAAATAAGTCAAGGGACTATTATGATCACTGATTCTGTCACCTAGTGATCTAATTCCCTCTGAGATATAACTTTTTTCAATTCCCCTACCTCATACACAGATTTGTAAAAGTGCCTCCCTTTACCCATTTAAAAAAAAAGCCAGTTTAAGATGTAATGAAAGTAAATTATAAAACAAATAAATTTCAGCCATTGGCTTATAGTACAACACTTTTTCCAGTCAGGATCGGTTCAAAGAAAGTAACTTAAAAAAGCACTCCTGGATTTAATCTAAGGGGTATCAGCTTGGGAATCTCCTTCCCTAAAAGCAATAGTGGATAAGACCTAGGGAACTATGTGAGACACATGCTCAGGGTCATATGACTAAGTGTTGCTGACTTCAAGTTCAGCATTCTAGGCTCTATACCATGCTGCCCTGGTTCATTTAATTTACACGTTGTTTAAATTTTTCTGGTGTTTTCTACCATGTCTAGCATATATTAAACCTCACATATCAAGATTCACTTTTTAGGAATTTATCCCTTAAGAAAAAAACAGGCTCCCTATGTTACAAAGCATGGTGCAGTGGAAAGAACAGCAGCTTTGGAGTCACTGGAAATAGCGGAGCTGGCAGTAGTGTTTTGTTGCCCAAAAGAAAAAAAAAGAAATGAAAGGGGGTCTTTAAATCCCACCTCTTACACTTACTACACATATGATTTTAGGTCAAGTCACTTCCTTGTCTCTGAGCCTCAATTTCCTAATCTGTAAAATGAACAGATTGGACTAGATGACCTCTGGGTTCCCTTGCAGCTTTTGGATCTATGCTCCTATTAATTCTTACATAATTACATCTGACCTAAAGATAGTTTAATGTACCCAAACACCAAACAAAGGATAGTATCTCCCATACTTTAAATAACTATAGTTAGTCAGGTTTGGGAAATCTCCTGTATTCAGCTTAGCTCAAATAAATGAGACACTTCCTTTCATGCTAAATTGCATGAACCAGTTCTTAGAGTGCATGCAATTAGAAAGGAGAAATGAGGTTTAGGAAATTGAAACTGTGAAAGGAAAGCGGAAGGAATTCAGAAGGGATTAAACTGACATCATAAACTCCATAGCCTCAAAGTTGCCTAAATTGTATACTGGAGAGAGAGAGAGAGAGAGAGAGAGAGAGAGAGAGAGAGAGAGAGAGAGAGAGAGAGAGAGAGAGAGAGAGAGAGAGAGAGAGAGAGAGAGAGACAGAGAGAGAGAGAGAGAGAGAGACAGAGAGAGAGAGAGAGAGAGACAGAGAGAGACAGAGACAGAGACAGAAAGAGAGAGACAGAGAGACAGAGAGAGAGAGACACACACACACACACAGACACACACACACACACACACACACACAGA